AAGACCTGTAGCTGATTTTCAATAGTTGATTATTTTCCCTACTTCAAAAAGCTATAAAAAGAAATTCAAAAATTCTCTGATTTGGCTGACAACTTGTTTCAACAGGCTATACGTCCCAAAAGTAGACACAAACGTGCTCAACAGGATCTTAATTATATTTGTAGAAGCTACAATTGGAAGTAGGAATCCCAAGAGCTTCTTACCACAGCTGTCCCTTCTGTGTTCTGCATCTGTCCGCAGATGGTACCTGTTCCAGGAATGGGCAAAGCATAAAAAGAACACGATTGCGGCAAAAGCTGGCTGCGCAGGCTTTGTACAAATACGCTTCTAATTTTTCTTGCCCACAATGTCGAAGATATACTGAATGGACGTACCGACGATAATGTGTACGAGAAAGGAACATCGTTTCTTATGCCATTTTCCTCAAACCTTTTTCATAATGACAGATAGATGTGTTGAACAGGCTATTAGCGATGAAAGCGGTGGAAAGACGTGTAGGAGAAGCGACCATAGCTAATGATCCAGTTTTTGCAGTGCACGGCGTTACGTGGGATATAGTAGAACATAAGATATGTCGTTATAACAAACAGACGATATCTGTGCTTGTGCACAATTGAAACAACACATTGAATTTTTTGCTCGTGTAATCGTACGAATGTAAACGTTATAGGTTTTACAACCTACGAGGTTGGAAAGGTGGCGCACCACAAACTCGTTCTAACACTCAAGGATATAGGACGAATTTCGTTTTCGCGCGATCTGCCCGTTGAAGATGTGAGCCACTTTCGATTCTAAACGAACATCAGTTTCAACATCAATAAATTCCACTCCTCAAAGCCTGAACTTTTGTATTTGCAGCTACGTCGGACTTTCATCAAGCATGATGATCGTTACATGGAGCAAGTTCTGGAGATGCGCACTGCCACACATCCAAAATCTGGTTACTTGGAGCATACTAGAGTGATTTACACAAGACAGAAGGACGATTAAGACCATATCTCGACAACATGCCCAAGAAAAACGAGTAGATTATGTACAGAGTATTAATTATTTAATAAATAATTACAGCCTGTTTATGTTGAGTCTTCCTTACTTTTTGTTTCTCAAAGCTTCTAGAGGATTATGAGTTTCCTATATCTGAAAACACTTCCAGTCAAGCAACCATGGACTTATGTAAGCCACGGATACATACGTCTCAGACAAAT